ATTGAGAAAAAAGCAAGGGGGCCGGGCTGTACGGTGACTGGTCACTGTGATAGCCGATCAGAGGCTATCACAGCGATCATGTGACCCGTTAGAACGGGACTCGGGGCTCTCGGTGACACCCCGGTCTTTGTGCTGGGAGCGCACCGAGCGGCTATACGCAAATATGCGGCCCCACGGAAAAAAGCCAGTTCCGTGAGGCTGCATATTTGTGTGACGTCAGCATCAAGGTGTTAATTTGCCTTATAGAATGCTTAGGCTTTAGAACCACTTTAAGGCGTCAATTGGCTAAGAGATCAATACCGCATGAATTTGTGAGTTAAAATAACTCATGCAACATTTATCTTAAAAGCAGTCAATTCACAATTTTTTTTTTTGCAGGCTAACACTGCACACAGCAATACTGGGAAACTATGAAAACATTGTAGTGTGCTTTCATTCACAAAATGATCTCCCGCTGATAAAATGTTACAATTTATTTTCATTCCTGAACTCAGAGGAGACCATTTTCACATTGATACATTGTATTCTTTTCACTTCCTGACCAGTGTAGAGTTCCTCTAATTGTTATTTTGTACATTTCTAACAAACCGCCAGCAAACACCAGGCGATAAATAGTGAATGTGTGTTATTTAATGAATTTACTTCATTGATTTATCTCATGTTTCTTTGCAGTATTTATCTGTTTTAACATATGTGCTGTATTTATCTCACATTCGTTTTTTTACTTTGATTAACCACTTGCCTACTGGGCACTTTTACCCCCTTCCTACCCAGGCCAATTTTCAGCTTTCAGCGCTGTCGCACTTTGCATGAGAATTGCGCGGTCATGCAACACTATACCCATATGGAATTTTTATAATTTTTTTTCCACACAAATAGAGCTTACTTTTGGTGGTATTTAATCGCCACTGGGTGTTTTTTTTTTTTTTTTTTTTTTTTGCACTATAAACAATTTGTTTCTATTATAAGATTTTGCAAACAGGTAACTGTTCTCCTTTACTGATGTGCGTTGAGTAGGCTGCACTGATAGGCAGCTCTGATGGGCAGTGACAAGTGGCACGGGTAGGCAGCACTGATGGGCACTGATAGGCTGCACTGATGAGGTGGCACTGATGAGGTGGCACTGGTGGGCATTGATGAGGAGGCACTGGTGGCCACTGATAGGCAGCACTGACAGGCAGCGCTGACTGATGGCACTGACTGATGGGTGGCACTGCTGGGCAGCACTGGTGGGTGGCACTGCTGGGTGGCACTGCAGGGCACTGATCACATGATCATGTAGAATGAGGCTACATGACCCCTGACCTTCAATCTGGACAGTGCTGATTGGCTCTGTGCTGATCACATGCACCCCCCCAAATAAAACTCTGTAGCAATACACACCAAACTGAGCATGTGCAAAGTGTCTCCTAGGGCTCTGTACTATCAGAGAAGACAGGATCAAACAGCCTTTTTACACAATGCAGAGGATTAACCCCTTAGGGTCCATAGTGAGTATGACCAGCATGCTTTACTGCATATACAGACTGATTTTACTGTTGTGGATTTAGTAACACTTTAAAACCCCCAGAATTTCACCTTGCCCATTGACACCTTCATATTTTGTGGATGTTTTTGCAATGTAAATCCTCTCTAGGGGACTATGTTGACAAACTTTGCAATATCATAAAATAGTGCAGCGCTGAAATAGTGACAATAAGACAAAAATTGTCCACTAAAAGTCTTGTTCATATGAACGTATCCAGTGTCAGATGTGAATTCAGAATTGGTGATCCGTGTGGAAATGGCTGGAAAACGCACTCACCAGAAACTTTGCAATATGTTGATGGTGCTTTCAGGTGCATTCCACTTGCATGTGACTTTAGTAGGATATTTTTTATTATATCCGTTACAGTTGCAGACAGGTTGATTGCACTTGCTGTTGATGTCCTTGTGACTACATTTGCCTTGCTTCTATGCTGCCTCAACATGCTTTGGAATTGTTCACACTAATGGCCAGAGGTGGTAAAGCCAGGTGGTTGAGCTGCAGTTTTACCACCTTGTAATCAGGAGCCTGAATACTTATATATAGCTGCTCAAAGCAGTACACATCCCTCAGAAAAATTTTACGAGCATGTAGCATTGAGTTACTGCCGCCTAACATGATGCATTGAATCCTATGGGGCCACACCACAAGCATTAAATCAGGCGTTGAGGAGGCGACATGCTCAGAGGGCATGGCACATGTGAATAAGCCCTGAGTCCAACTCTACTTTTTGCAACGTTACACATTACACCCATATTTAAGGTGTAACATGGTGCCAAGCTAACCCCTCCATCCCCAGAACACCTCCCCCCCAACAGTGTGCAGGGAGTTCTCTCCAGCAACCACCGTTAAAATGGGCTCAGCAGAGATGCCATCACAACAGAGTGATTTGTAGTTCTCAGTGGATTACAAGTCTAGTGTATCCAGCTCTCCACCTGAAAGCCTATACATCAGTACAGGCAGGGAGCTGGAGGAAGAGTCTGCAGGAGTCTGACATTGGGCCCTGATTGCGGGTGTAATGCTCTGTGCAAAACACGTGCACTTACTACTATTATTTCTACAGGAGGACTTAGTCTTTAAGCTACCTTTGTATTCCCACTGATTTGTATGGAGAGAAGAGCAGTTTTGAAGCACACAAAAGTAAAACCATATTTTCTCAACATTTTAAATGCAATCCATCCAATAAAAGGTTATTTTGTATCCTGTATATTTTGTTATATTTTATTGTACACATTTGTTGTGTACAATTTTGTTTGTAGAATTACTTATATAGTACATGGATGCTGAATCTCAGATTTGACCTATGTTTGCCATGTCCTTAAGTGGAACGTAAGTTCTGCTATGATACGCTGTGAACAGGCAGGCATTTAATTGCAGAATAGACATGCAATGTCCCTTCTGTGATAAAAGATACCTACCTGCTTGCGATACCTGAGTTGTATACTGAGCTGCACATGCGCAGTTCAGCTTACAGTGGGTGGGCCAATCCTGTGTGCTGGAATGGGTAGCTCCATCCTACACTGACCAATGAAGAAGGCCAAAACCCAGCATACAGGAGTGTCCTCCCTTTAGTTCTGCTTTAACACCCAACCCCAGCCAAAACTTTTCATTTTGTTTTGGATACAAAGGTTAGAGTCACTATCAAATTTTTGTTGCTGTCTGCATTCCTGCTTAAAAGATTTATCCTCACTTTCTGTCAGGCCTCCAGCCAGCTGTAGATCCCCGTAACATTACACAGTTCCTTCCAGCTCCCATAGTGCCCTAACACCTCCCATAGTGGCCTACAGTGCCCCTCAATTTCCTATAGTGTCCCAAGACCTCCTGAGATATCTCAGCACCCCAGTGTCCTGCTAGCTTTGCTGCAGCACTTCCAGCCCCTAACCTCTCACAGTGCCTCCATCTACCATAGTGACTGCAACCTTCCATAGCTACCCACAGTGCCCTTCAACCTTCCACAGTGGTCCAGGCCGTCTGAGAGCCCATAGAGGCCCTTTAACCTCGTACAGTGGCACCCAGCACCCTGTAGTTCCCCTTTTCTTGCTGCAGATTCTCCAAACTATCCTTTAGTGTCCCCAACCTCCAACAATGTCCTCAAAGGGCAGTACAGTCTCCCCAGTGTCCCTGCAAAACCCCCAGGCTCTTTGAGAGATCCCATCCCTCCCAATTTCCCCCCAGCTCCCTCAAGAAACCTCATTTTCTACAGGGCCACCAAGTCTGCTGAAGAGTTCCCTAACTCCCTCCAGATTCTCCATCCCCCTACAGTGACACACAGCCTCATCCAGAGCCTTCCAGCATTACAGTACATATTTTGTACACCTATACTTTTATTGCGCACGTATTAACTTTTTTCTTTTGGAGCATGGAAGGATTTGAAGCATTTATCAGGCCCTGACTTTAATTACGTTGTGAAGCACCACTATGGAGCACTAATAAACCCCACTACCTTCAGGCATTTTTCTGATGAATTGTGAATTCCTTCTGCATAACTGTTTTCAGTGCAGACAAGTTATCCCTAGTTATATGCATTATGGCTGCCTGGAAAATTCACATTTGCTACATTATACATTTGTTTTGTTCAGCCAGCAGGTTGAAAGAAGAAAATGTGCCAGTTCCCCCATCAATACATTCTCTGCTGCTGGGGGAATCCTTCCCATTGTGCTATTGTGTTCTGCTGACAGGGAGCCTTACCTTCCAAAAGAATACAATGATCAGTGTTTCCAGCTATAGCCAGAGGCCCTGATCATTTGGGAAAAACCCAACAGGCCGGTTGTGCACAAGCTGATCGATAAATTGACTTGTGCACAACCAGCTAGCTTTTAATGGATCAAACTTTGGGCAGTCTCTGCTGAACCAGCTGAATTTTTGATCCATGTATGGCTGTATTTAGTCCCCATTCACACCTGTGGAATTTGTTGAACGACTAAAAGAAGCCCATTATTTTCTACAGGCCTATTGATGGCTATGCTGTGCTCTTCTATGTGACTAGGGAAGAAGGCGCAGATGCTTCTTTTGGTGCAATATGGTGCATTTTTGGCTTGTAAGCTTTATTGGGATTGTATAAGAAAAATGCTTAAAAAATCATTTAAAAATTAGAATGTAAACGCACAAGTGTGAGCCTTAGACTCACCCACCCTACATGTGAGGTGTTTACTGGGATCTGGCTGAATGAGATCACCTAGAACCGATATTTAAAGTGGTTGTAAACCTCAGACATTACATATCCCTCTATAGCAGGGCTCACAATTTCAAGTCCTGAGCTACTAGCCAGGCCTTAGGAGTTACTTGCCACCAGTTGCCCCACCCAACCCCCCCCCCCCCCCCTCCTCCTCCTCCTCCTCCTCCTCCTATTCCACCTCTAAACACACCTTTATAAATGTTTTCATAAAATGACACTGTTAGGGCTCATGTACACTGCAGCTGATAAACTCACGTTCAGGAGCTGTTCAGCGTTTTTTCAGCAGCCCCTGAACTCTCCCTAATGTTTTCCTATGTGTCCATGTACACATCGTCATTTACAGGCAGTTGAGTTTACAGTAGTTTTTTTGAATAGAGAAAACTTGCGTTCAGCAGTAGATTTTATCAGCGTTTCAAACGCTTTTATAAACGTTTGCGTTTGAAAATGTTTTTCAACTCTTCATTTCCAGATGCTGTCCAGAGCCTTTTTTCATCATGAAAAATGCATGCAAAGTGTTTTCCCGGTACTCAAATGGACCTAGCACACCATACTTTGAGGTTTTGCATGAAATAAAATATGTTAGACACTGCTGCAATAATTTCTGCACAGAAATGAGCTGGAACACATCAAAACACCACAAAAAAAAAGACAGCTAATCTCAACAAATACTGCTCTCTGCTTCTGTTCTCTCTATTTCTCTCAAAATGTCTGAAATAGTTAATTTTGTTACTGTTTTTCAGTGCATTCTGGTCTCCTGAGGTTATCTTTAAAAAAACACTTCTAAACGCAAATGCTCATAAACAGGCATTAACGCGCATAAACGCGGTGTACAAATGCGGCTAAACAGACATTTTTTAACCTACGTTTTCCAGCAGTCATGTACATGGAGCCTTAAATGTTTTTTATGCAGAATAAAGTTGCACAAATAAATATTAACAACAACAACTTTAACAATAAAGCCTACTGGCCATTCCACTGAGTCCTTCAGTGCACCCACTTTTATGTTAACATCTTACAACTTAATATATCCTCCATCCCATGTCCTCAACCTCCTCTACTCCCATCTCCTGTTCCTCCATCCCACATCCTCCTACATCCCATATCCATCTCCTTCTCCATCCCATGTCCCTCTCCTCCTCTGCCAGTCCCATCAATCTGTCCCTCCTCTGCCAGTCTCATTTCCTCCATCCCATGTCCTCTTCCTCCTCTGTCCCATGTCCTCTTCCTCCTCCAGTCTCATGTACTCCATCCCAGATCCTCCTCCAGTCTCATGTCCTCCATCGCATGTCTTCCTCCTCCTCCTCCAGTCCAGAGAGAGAGAGAATGAAAGAGAGAATGAGAAATTGAGAGAAAGAGGGGGAGAGAGAGAGAGAGAATGAGGGACGTTTACATACAGGCATTTTGAATAGCGGGCAGAATTGCCCACAATTTCAAAACGCTCTGCTCAAATGACAAATCGCACAATGCAATTTTCAGGTGCCATTCATTTTAATGGCAACTAAAAATGCGGTGCAGTCCTGCTGCAATTGTCACATGATAAATTGCACAGCAATTGCAGCAAACCACACTGTGCAAAGTTTGTTGCCCAAAAAGTAGCAGGAGCTTCTTTTGGGTGACAAGAGCTTTGTGCAATGTGGTTTGCCACGATTGCAGCATGATTTATCGTGTGAATGCCACCTGCAATTTGCGTTGTGCGATTTTTTCATTTTAGCAGAACATTTTGAAATCAATTCAAAATGCCCATATGTGAACGGAGCCTGAGAGAGGGAGAGAACGAGAGAGAGAGGGAGGGGAAAGGGGAGATGAGAAGGAGGAAGAGAGGGGGAAAGAAAAGAGGGGAGAAGAGGGGGGAAAAGAAGGCAGAAGGGGTAGAGAGAGGAAAGGGAGAAAGAAGGAGTAGAGCAAACAGGGGTAAGGGGAGAGGGGGGCTGTTCTGAGTGCGGAAGGCTCACTCACCAATTATGCCCCCCTGCAGGCTGGTCTCCTCCAGGGCTGTGCCAACTAGCAGCTATTGCTCCAAAACTGCCACTCAGCTGCCCATAGAACTCCTCTCACAGTGCAGTGCATTGCATGCAGGTGGCTGGAGTGTGGGCAGGGTTGGGTGGACAAAAATGGGAGGCAGAGTCTAGGTTTGGACAAGCAGTAGACTGAGGGAGAGGTAGGAGGACAGTGGAGACAGGATGACAGGACAGGAGACGGAGCGGATACAGCCCGACTCCCATGCAAGCTGCTTTCCCTACTCTCACTTTAGCACTATGCCAGGCTGCCCGTGCCTCTGGAGGGCAGAAGCCAGAGGGGTTAGTCCACTCTCCACACTGTCCAAGTTGGTCATGGTATCTGGGAGAGAAGATGCTCCTCCGGCAGCTGCACACATAGACTCTACATCCTTCTCCTCCTCCAGCTCCCCCTGATGGCAGCCCTGCCTGGGACACACTCGCCACCATGCTTTTTACACTCGCTAAATGTGAACAGGCAAGTGGAAATTTTGAGGCCTGCTCTATAGTATGTACAGTACATTTCTCAATTAATTTCTCGCACTAAGTCATTTCTGTCTGCTACTGTCTGCCCTGGGAGAAATCTCCAGCAGATATCCAGCCTCAGCTCTGTTCCTGTGAGCTGTGTGAAGGGGGGCAGGGTCTTTTCCCTCCAATCAGGTTGCAGAACTCTCCTCACTGCTGTAACGTCAGCTCCCCACCCCCTGCTTTTCAGAGCTGAAAGATCCTGTGTAAATTCTGCACTTTGAATGTAAGTAGAGGAAAGACAATTGTAGATAAACAAGTACAACTTATGTAGTAGGATTTGTTTCATCTCTGTGTAATCACCTGAGGCCAGTCACTTTACTGGGTATATGTAAGGGTTTACAGCCACTTTCGGCAATTATTAGACATTCTAACTAAATCACAGCTTCTGTGTGTCCTGTTGTTAGCACTTTAATATAACAGGATTTCCTATTAATAACCTTTGTATTTAGGTATTGTATGCATTTCGTCTTGCTGTCTATTTTAGTTATTTTTTCCATACACCATTGTAGTCCTAGTGCCGTCCTTAAATCTGCTGAGTCTTTTTGTCATAGTTTGTCAAAATTTCCAGTGTTCAAACCTTTTCAAAATCAAAGGTGATTTAAACTATTTTGACAGTGGTACTAACGTAACCTAGTTTTCTTTAACTTGTACCTGTCCCTGCAGCTTAGTTTACAGTTTAATTTATACTACAGCACTGTTGTTTACCATTGACATGACCTTTGTGGTTTCTTAAAAATCCCACAAGAAAAACGCACACTAAACAATAACTGCTATTAAAATAACAATGTAGTGTAGCTAAATATATTAAATTAAGATTTTATGATGGTAACATACTGTATATGCGTATTACAACTAATACAAATGACTAAGGATTAGGTTCAGGTTCACTGATACAGTGGGTTCGAGGAGAATCCTGCAGAGATTTGCACTCCTGACAAATATATGTGCAGATTTCCCCAGGAGAGCTTTTTTTAAACCTTAATGCACTACACAGCCTTTTAACTTCTGCCAAAAGGCTTAAGCTGGCCATAGATGGGTTGAATTTTGAATTAAAATTCTTGGGAAAAGAAAGCTCTAGGAAAGTGTTCATTTTACTAATCATTAGTGAGTTAAATCAACGTTCATTTTTGACTGCAGCGACAAGACAATTCAAAGGCAGAGGATGAACAAACAAATTTCTAACAGTATATGTTGTTTTTATTCAGTAAAGTCCATTTATTCCAAAATCAAATGTTAAATGCAAACAAAATCTTTCAAACGACAAACAAATGTTCTAAAAATTTTTGTACAAAATTTCCTAAAACGTTTCCTAAGAATTTTCATTTTGAAATTCTATCCATCTATGGCCAGCTTTACAGAGGTCAATTATGGAGCTTTTGGATAAGGCTAGGTTCACGCCTATGTGATTGGTGCAGCTCGCGTTTATGTAGGCACAGCAGCCCATTCATTTCAGCTGGCTGCTGTACCTGTGGAAAGTGTAGGAAAAAGGTCCCTGCGCCATTGTAAAAATCACAGACGCATGGAGATTGCATGGTCCTTTTGCAGGAATATGTGATTTCCTGTACCCAAAAATGCACCTCTGGTGTCTGTAGGTGAGGGAATGCATGTGATTTACATGCATTCCTGCACCTGCATGTATGTGTGAATCTAGCCAGCATGCTTACTATAAAAAGGGGGAGCAAAGAGCTGCCTTAGTGACAGCATAATAAAACCTACTATAGGAAAAGCATGGAGAAACCTAGTCCTGAAAAGCTGCATAAAGAGAGATTAAAGTCAGATAGGATACTGTATTTTAAAAGAGAAGTATGGAGATATTAACAAAAAAAAAAAACATAATTACCTAGATGGCTGCATCACCAATCCCAGCTGCAGCTGTCCCCCGCCATTTTATAAGCGTTTGCGTTTAGAAGCATTTTTTAATTGTTCCATGTCCAGATGCTGTCCAGAGTCTTTTTTCATCATCAGAAATGCATGCAAAGTGTTTTCCATGTATTCAAATGGACCTAGCACACCAGCGCAGTCAGTTCCAGGTTTTGCACGAAGGAAAAAATGGTAGAACTCGCACCGCATTATGATCATGATGGGATCCATAGTGAATACAACCAGAAAAGACAGGTCATCTCAACACATACTGTTCTCTCTGCTTCTACTCTCTTTATTTCTCTCAAAATGTCTGAAATAGTTAATTTTGTACTGTTTTTCAATGCATTCTGGGCATTTTGGAAGGTCTCCCAAGGTTATCTTTAAAAAACGCTTCTAAACTCGAACGCACATAAATGCGCATAAACGTGCTATGCAAACGCGGCTAAACAGGCGTTTTTTAACCTACGTTTTCCAGCAGTCAGTTTCCATCTTTCAGAAGTGTTTTCCCAAATGTCCCGTGTACATGGAGCCTTAGTGAGCAGACTGTCATTCTCCGGCTCTCACTGGAGTACCAGACTGTGGAGGGGGTGGATCGCCTGGCACAGGCTCTCAGCAGGTCACTGGCCCAGGCATCTGGGTGGATTCTGACTTTAAAGTCGGGATCTTTTCCCATCCTGGGCCAGCTGAGTTACTGCCTGCAAACAACTGTAAACGACATAGTGTACACGGACACATAGGAAAACATTAGGGAGAGTTCAAGGGCTGTTAAACAAAATACAAAAAAGCTCCTGAACATGAGTTTATCAGCTGCAGTGTACATGAACCCTAAAGACTGAGAAATGAGTGATCAATGGTCTTTCATCACTCAGTTCTCAATCTTAGAAATGGTGGGGGGCAGCTGCAGCTGGGATTGGTGATTGGTGATGCAGCCATCTAAGTAATTATGTTTTTTGTTTTTTTTAATATCTCCATACTTCTCTTTTAAATTACAGTATCCTGACTTTAATCTCTCTCTATGCAGCTTTTCAGGATTAGGTTTCCCCATGCTTTTCCTATAGTAGCTTTTAATATGCTGTGTTGTGTTCCAATATCATCAGAATATTGACAAAAGGACTAAGGTAGGTAGGTGGCAGGTGCATGACAACGTCTGGGTGAGAGACTGAAGTTCTTAGTAAAAAAGCTATGCTTCCCATATGCATTTCCAGGTTTTAATTTCACTATTGAATTGAGAATACCTTTCAACTTACTAGCATCAGCTGCCATAGGGGTTCTTTTGCTTTTTGCTTTAGATTGACCAAAAGCCATATAATATTAGGTCAAACCTAAACAACTTTGAATTGTATCCAATTAGGCAAGCCCTTGCACTACCTATTTGAAGGTAAATCTAAAGGAAATTGGGTAGAAATTGGTCAGAAAACGGTATAGTGTATGGCCAGCCTAAGGATAACTGCACTTTGCACATTATCAGTGCCCTGTACCTGACAGTTTCTCTCTCTGTTTTATTCTCAAATTCTATAAAAACAGTCTTGTGGCTCATAGGGAAATTAATTAAGTTGTGTATCCCCAAGAGACCTGTAGCCCACATGTCAAACCCAGATCATATATCAAGTATCATGTATCCATGACACATCCGGGGTGATTTAGTAAAAGTGGAGAGTGCAAAATCTGGTGCAACTCTGCATAGAAATCATTCAGCTTCTAGATTTTATTGCCAAAGCTTAATTGAAAAAGCTGAAGTTAGAAGCTGATTAGCTACCATGCATAACTGCACCACTATAAAGTTCAAATAGGGATTGTTTGTGTAGTTTCTGTGTTTTTTTTTGTATTACTAATTTTAGTTTTTTTTCCATTCAAAATGCATTTTATTATGATAAAATGTATATCCACTTAAGCTTCGGAAAGGTTTTACCCCCTTCATGACCAAGCCATTTTTTTGCTCTGTGTCACTGTGTTACTTTAACTGGCAATTGCACGGTCATGCAACACTGTATTTCAAATACATTTTTTTTATTTTTATTTTAACTGGCAGTCATGTGCATATGTATAAACACAAGAAGGTATGGCAAGTAATACAAACAAACTCAATGTAGTTGCTAGGCCAATATACTCTTAGCATATCTATAGAAGAGAGCAAAGAACAAAATAAATAACAACAAAAGGTCACTGCTGGGTGTGACGGGAGTGACTTTGGGTGGGAGGGTCCATGGAACACAGTCCCCTTTGGAGAGGTGGGGAGACCCCTGTCTCAGCTCCCCATGTTCCTATTATGTGTAAGTCACCCTGTGCCTGTTAGAGGTACAGGGTGAAATGTTCTAATATTGGTGTGGGGGTTGTTCATTGTTCACTGCCATGCGGCTGCATCCCATTGTTCTAGCAAACTATTATGTAATGTTTGTGTATTGGTGTGGGGGTTGTCCATTGTTCACTACCAGGTGGTGCATCCCATTGTTCTATTGTGTGTCTTGCTTGGGAACAAACTATTATGGGATATATGTGTTTATACTGGCTTGGTGGAGGGGTGTTTCCGGCAGCCCTTCCCCCTGATGAGATAGCCTGTTGATGTGTTTCCTGTCGGGAGTGTATTTCCCCGCCCTGTGTATAAATCTTGTATCTGTGTTAAAATAAAGCAGTCTATTTCCTGTTTTAATACGAGTCTGGTGCTGTTTCGTCTTGTATGGTCAGCGGTGGTGCCCGTGGATCTGTGTTCGGACAGGGAAGCGGTAGTATAATGGAAATACCCTAGTGCAGTTGGGGTCCAGTTCGGTTACACTGGGTTTTTTATTTTTTGAGATATAAATGAAAAATTTGATACGCATCACGTCTTAAACTATAAGTACACATATTTAATGTGGCTCATTTAACATGTTGAGAGCCATCTATCCGCAAGCATACATTCCTCCTTCCATTCTACCTCACCCTAAGCCCCCCTTCCCAACCCATTCTCCCACCCCCCCCTTTTAATTTTTTTATTTTTCTCTCTTCCTTCTTTCTTTCCTTTCTATATACTTACCTTTATCATCACACTCCTCTATTTACTAACTAACCTTTTGTCTACCTGAGCTCTAGCTCCCACCTATATCCTACTCATATCTTCGTTTTCGTACCATAACCGATACAGAACACTATCCTTCAAACAGATGTACTATGCCCCATATCACTCACACATCCAATTCTTGGACACACGAAACAGATCTAAAGCTTTAGCATGTGCTGTTCATATTCAATATCACATACTTCACACTTCCCTGACAGAAAATCTTGCTCAAAGATCAAAAGACAATATATCTCTCTGCTCACTTCTTATATGATGTACATTTCCTGGATTGTAATATTATGTTGACACAGTGTTTTACAACGTTATGTTTTGTATTGCCTGTTATGATTTGACCCGTCTGTGGCACGGGAGGCGACATACAGTGCCATGTCCAACTTTGGACTCACGTCTGTATATGTATTGTTCTGTCTGCTTTTTTCTAATAAAAATCTTTTTTGGAAAAAATAAATGAAAAATTACTAAACATTTTGAAAAGAAAATGATATTTTCTTCTTTCTGTCATAAAACATATCCAATAAGGCCATTTGTTGCGTTACGGCGCTGCGTTACTTTACCTGACGATTGCGCAGTCATGCAACGCTGCACCCAAATTAAATTTACGTCCTTTTTTCTCACGAATTTAGCTTTCTTTTGGTGGTATTTGATCGCCTGTGTTTTTTTTTATTTTTTGCGCTATAAAAAAAAACGATTAATATCATAATAAAATGCCTTTTGAATGGAAAAAAATGGTAATAAATAAAAAACACAGAAACTACACAAACAATCCCTATTTGAACTTTATTCTTTTGAACAAAGTTTTTGACATTTTGCTATTAAACATGTCCAGTAAAAAAATTTTAAAAATCAAATTTTGTCAAAAATTTAGTCCAAAATGTATTCTGCTATAAAATAAAATGCCTTTTGAATGGAAAAAAAAAACTAAAATTAGTAATAAAAAAAACACAGAAATTACACAGACAATCCCTGTTTGAACTTTATTAGTTTGAACAATATTTTTTACTTTTTGCTATTAAACATGTTCAGGCCGAAATAACAAGATAAAAATAAATAGCTCATTAACAGATACTTTGCAAAATAAGAAAAGCAAGTTTTGCTACAATATTTACCTTACGCCCTAGTTCACACCAGTGCGACTTCAGGTGCAACATGCTATTTACAAATCGCACCTAAAGTTGCATCTAATGTATTTCTATGGCACTGTCTTAATCAGTGCAATCTAGAGTAGTGCAATTTCAAAAATAATTCCTAAACTACTTTTTTTCTGATTTCATTGCATCTTGCATTGACTTTTGTTAAGTGAAGTTGCAAACCACAATGAAATTGGAGATACAAAATCTCACTGATTTGCAGCTTTGAAATCGTGCTGCTTCAAGTGAACTAGCAGGATTTCAAAGTTGCATTTAGTGTGAACCAGGGCTAATCCAAAGATTTCCCCCACTCAGTACTTTTTCCTGTAATTAGATCCTCAGTCTGATGGCCAGCATTATTCAACCCACTTCCTCTGAGCCCAGGTCATCCTAAACTTTTGCGACCTGTAAATGCAAAGTGAAAGGAGAAGCAGCACAGAGATGAGTTTGTCTCTCTGTTACTCTTTTTCCTCCTCCTATCAGAATGCTTCTTGTCAACATATGAACTGATTGGTGGTTTGTACTGCTTCTTTCACAATCCAGCCCTGATGTGTAGGGACTGCAAGAGGCTGATAACAGGTGATACTCAGGTCATTACATTGCTTTGGCTCCTTTCACTGAGGGTGGACTCCGTTTAGATCAGCAGGGGATCTATCCACTGATCCCCTGCTGATCAGAGCAGAACGGGCAGATGACACGTGTCCATTCAGTTTCTGCAGAGCAGACACAGACCAGGCCCACTCTGCTCTATGGGTGGTTGGGTGTAAACAGACTTCACTGTCCATTTCCATCCAGTTACCCATCAATCTGATCTGCGTAGAAGCAGGGGGAAAGATCCCCTTCCTTTTTTTTTTTTTCAAGTGGATCAGATTTGGAGTAAGCTGGGAGTAAATGGACACAAGACTGTTTACACCCATCGATCCATAGGGGTGAATGGAGGGTCCGATCAGATCCACCTGAAAAACTGACAGGCAGGACCCTTCCAGTGAAAGTGGCCTTACATTTAAAGCTG